GCGTACCCCCTGCCCCTCTCCTGCCCGGCTCCTGCTGCCAGCGCTCGCCGCCTCTCTGCCCGCCCGGTCCCGAGCCCCTGGGCTGCCACCACGGGGCTCCCCRGGCCCGGCATGGGCTGGCATCTGGCAGCTGCCTTCTCTATCCCCGCTCGCCATGCACGGTAGCCATTGGCCTCCTGTGGCCGGCCCTTTGCCTGTCTGTGCCAGGCATGCCTGTGTCCCTGTGGGGGCATGGGCCCGTCCCCGGGACCACAAAGTGCCTGGCATATGAAGGAGAGACATCTGCCACCTTTCCCGTCACCCCGTGCCTTTATTTTTTGTATGACTCCCTCCTGCCCTGGGGGCAGAGACTCCCATGTTCTCTCCTGTCCCCTTGTGCTGGCTCCTCCTCCCCACCATAGTATTTCTGTTACTGGAATGCAGCCTAGATTGGGGTTAGTTTGTTTGCTTGAGCGGAGGGTACTGCAGCCAAGAAGGGTTGGGTTTTTGTTGGGTTTTTACATGCTGCTCTCAATAATAAAAAAAACACCTTTTTTAATTATTTTTCTTTTCTTTTGGGTCTTTGTACAATGACACTCTTAGCTGCCTCCTTTCCTCCACATGGGTCCTGGGAGGAACTGGTCATGGTTGCATTTGGCTCCCTGGCCTTTTCCCTTGGCTGCTGGCAGTTGCTGAGGCTGGGAGAGCCCCAGCATGAGCCCCGGGCTGGCTGAGCTGCAGCGCAGCCCGACTGCCTGGCCATCTCCATGGGGCTATGATGGAGCTGAGCATCTGGGAGGAGGACTGTGAACTGCGGCTGGCCTTGACCCAAGCGGCCCATGTTGTTTAAGGGACAGGGGCAGCGGGTCTTAGGGACTGTGATTGCCCCTTGAGAGAGATGAAAGCCTGGGCCAGTCTCAGAGAGGCTGTGGGATCTCTACACTTGGAGATAGCGCCCACCCTTAGCTGGCCCAGCAACCTCATGCAGTTAGCTGTGATTGGAGCAGGTCTAGACCAAACCTACCCAGGAGGCATTTCCCAGCTCTGCCTCACCACAGTGCTACCCTGGCTGCCCTTGTGCTTCGTGGTTCTGCTTTTTGGGAACAAAGGCAATGTGGCTGCAGAGGATGAATCCCACGGGAGGCATCGGATCCAGGGGCTGTAGGACAGGGAGGAAGCAGGGAGGACATCAGCACCAAGGTGAACCCCTGGCCTCTGGGATAGGGAGAGGTGGCACTGCTGGGAGTGCGTATTCTTGGGAGTGATGTCATGAAAAAAAAAAAAGTCTGTATCCTTGGGGACAGCACATATCTTGGGCAAACTAACTGGAAAGAGCTGAGTGAGCAAAGGCAGGCCTAGCTGCATGGGAGGCTGGGAATCACTGCACCCCACTCACGGCCTTGTAGGGGGCGGGGACACAGTTGCAGGAGGGATGGGGCGGTAGGAAGTCCAACTGTTTCAGCCCAAACTGAAGCACTGACATCTTCAAAAGCAAGGGGAAGGGCGACAGGCAAGGTTGCATCTTGCAGCACCCAGGACCACAAAGAGCAGTATAGCTGGAACAGGAAACAAGTCCACCAAAGAGCCCGCCAAAACACAGAGTCCAAATGAGCATTTAGGGAGAAGCGTAAGATTGAATGTGGGTAGCCCACAATGATGTCTCTTGCCACAGTTACCCTTCAGGTCCTTTCACACTTTGGGCACCCATAGCAGCTGGGGCAATGCACACATTTACCATGCAACAGGGAGAAGCAGTTCTTCTGGCTGATTTGGCTTTCATCCAGTGCCCCATGGCTCTTCCACAGCTGTCCCAAGGCCTTGGGGCTGCACTAATGGACCTTAACTAACTGGAATACCCTCACCTGGGACCCCACACTCTGCCCATAGCACAAGCATTTAAGCTAAGGCACAGGCCTTTGCTTTTGCTTTGAGTCACCTTGTAGGAAGATCTCAGACTTAACTTCTAGCTCTCTCCTGAATTCACCTTAGACTGATGTTATAGCCTTATTATTTGGTTTTATCATTGAAGTGGCTTCCTTGAGTAGACTCCAGGCCTGGTTCTCTGCAGCAACACCTGGATGCATTGATGGATTGCATTGCCAACACATGGCTCCACTTGCCCTGCTCAGGTACTAGGGAGTTTTGCCTGTTGGGATTGAGGCATTGCCTGTGCTGGGGGTGGCTTGCCCCTGATGATGTGTGCTGTGGCTAGAGAAGCTCTTCTGCTGATTTAAAATCAAAATCTCTCCTCGAAGCTAAGCCTATGTTCCCCTGGTCCAAAAGAGAAGAACACCCCCAGGAGGGGGAGGAAAAAAAAGAAGTGAGTGAGTGGAGAAAAGGTTTTCACATTTCCATGGCCTCCAAGAGAGGTGCCAAGGGAACATGGTTATTCTAAAATACCAAGCGGCTTGGGGATACTGAGGGAGACAAGCTGTCTGACGGCGCTGCGGCCTGCAGGAGCTGGGACTCGCCTCCTCCAGGTGGGTGTGATACCTATATCAAGGGGCTGCTGGAGCCTGGGAGAAACTTGGGAGAGGGACACTGGGGAAGAACTAGCTATACCACAGGCAAAACCATTGCCTTTGGTGCAAATCTCAGCTTTGCTGGTACCAGGGAGACAAGAGGAGGAAAGGAGGGGGCGCACAGTGAGGCTCGCACCCTGCTAGGACATCTAGGTCCATGTTTCTTCACCCATGTATGTACTTTGGGTACAGCACAAGGGAAGAATGCAGAGAGAGACCCTGCCATGGCCCCCTGTGCTGATAGAAACACTGGGACTGCAAAGGGGCAATCTGTGCCCTTCAAAGAGGCTTGCTTCCCTTGAAGCTCAGAGGCAGACGGATGCACGGTTCCCACGGGCCAAGTGGCCCAGGAGGCTGCCCCAAAACCAGGCTGGGGAGGAAAGCAACCACAGTGAGAACAGGGGCAGCTCCTGTCCCACAGCCTCCCATGCCACCTGCACAGGGAAGGGGCTTCCCCAGGGGAGCGGAGGCTGGGGTACGTGTACAGCAGCTTGCTGACCCCCGCAGCACGTGGGGCAGCCCAGGCCCACCTGGCCCGGGTGCAGGGCGCACGGGGGCAGCCCAGGCCCACCTGGCCCGGGTGCAGGGCGCACGGGCCACTGGCACGGTGAGTTGAGCTGCGGTGCACGTGACGGGAGGCATGTGAGCAGGGCAGGCAGCTATAAATGGCGTGTGCGCTCAGCGGAGGGGCACGGTGGGCAGGGACCCGGGCCCGCTCCGGCTCGGGGGGGCAGCTGTGGGGTGCAGGGCCCGCGCCGCGCCGGGCACGGGGGCGGCGCGGGCCGCAGAGCCCCGGCTGTGCGACACGGCGGGGCTGGTGGCGGGAGCCTCTGTTCTCTCGCCTCGCAGGGTCGCTCGCGCTCCAAGGAGCCTTCGCCCCCACTGGCCTGCCCCAGCTGGCAGTCTTGGAGGCTCCGCTCGCCCCCGCGCTGCGCRCCCCACGCGCGCCCACGTGCGTGGGCGGCTACCCGGCCGCCTCGCCACTGCGTTTCCCGGTAACTTCCCGGCGCGCCTCTYCGCGCGGCGCCTTTAAGAGCGTATTCCACGGCGGCTGTGACGCGAGCGCGTATGCAAATAGGCAAGCGAGCGCAGGCCAATGGGCGCCGCCGCTCGACCGTCGGCGGCCAATGGTAGGGCGCGGCCCGGCGGGGCGCCGGCTCTCCCCATATAAGGAGCGCCTTGTCCATAAAAGGCAACATTGTCTCGCTTTATATGGGGGCGGCGCGGCGCGGCGGGGGCGGCGGCGCAGCGGGGCCGTGAGCGCGGAGCGGGGCCATGGCGGGGCCGGCCTGACCCGGCCCGACCCGAGCGCCGCGAC